AGAAAGGCCTATTGACATGCGTTCCGCATGATGCTCCTCTACGTGCTGTCCCTATATCGTGTGAACTCGACAATCGTAAAATTTCCTGAAATCCATCATAGGCAAAAAATGGAAGACAAACTATTCGTGTCACTTCAAAAAAATGAAACAATGATTACCAAGAAATAATATAAAGCGCGGAATCTTTCAAGGAGATAGCCTGAGCCCTTACTGGTTCTGCTTGGCAATGAACCCGTTATCGACACTCCCTAGAAGACCTGAAATTAGTTTCGAACTGAGAGGCACTGAAAGATTGCAGATAGCCCATTTAGCGTATATATGGGCGACATCAAACTCTACTCTGGTACGATGCGTGCTTAAAAATTCAATAAAAGCTACTGAAGACTTTCTCCAGGGACATAAATATGGAACTAGGAATTGATAAATGCAAAATACAACAAATACAGAAGGGTAAACTCATCAGTGAGCTCACATACGAGACTGTTGATGGAGAAACAATCACTGCTCTGGAAGCTGATGAGCTCTACAAATACCTTGGGATACAGCAAGGAATATGATTGCACATCATCAACTGAAGGGATACTTAAAACAGAGCTTACCAACCGACTCAAGTCAGTGTTAAAAACTTTCCTCAATCCCGAACCTCACGCTGCCATTAACTCGTATTGCTATAACCATTATCACCTTCTCGATGGGTATTTCTTAAATGGTCCACAACCGACCTAGAGGTATTGGAGAGACTTGTAAGAGTTCAAATGATACGCTTCGGTTGTCACATTCTAAAAGTGCGATACAGAGGGTCACACTGCCTCGACAATGGAGGGGCGTGGGATTGTGAAGTTCACGAATCTCCATGCAAACAGATAATAGCCATGAGGAAGTATTTTGAAGAAAAGCAGGCACTTCTCTACTCCACAAGGTCTTGTGCAGGCAGATGACAAGTTACACGCCCTCAATCTAAACAAGATATGCAAGTCATCAGCTCTCTTTGCAGCAAAGAGTCGATTCCTGGAACAGAAAAGCACTCCACGGGCATATCCTGCTGCATAGCCAATCCAAAATGTCGACCAAGAAATGTCGTACAAATGGCTCAGTATAGGATATTTGTACCCTGAGAGCGAAGGTTTCATGATAGCAATACAAGATCAGGTGCATTTCCACAAAGAAATTACCTTAAAATATATCATCAAAGATCCAGGAGTCACTAACTGATGAATGTCGCATTGTATGGTCGAGATCATGAAACCATTCAGCATATTATATCAGCGTGTAGCTGTCTAGCTCCCACCAACTATAAAGTGAGACACGATCAAGTGAGCCACATCATCCATTCCAAACTAGCTAAAAAGCACAGGCTACCTCGAAAGTGGATGCACCATACTACCAGTATCATCCAGAAGCGGTGCTAGAAAACATGAGACACATAAGTTATACTGGACCGCAGTATTCTGACGACAGGACAATTCAGCACAACAGACCTGATATTATCTTTTGAGATAAATCTGCAAAGAAAGTTTGGTTTATTGATGTGCAGTCGTCAATACCAGCAACATGATGACAATATACCGACTTAAAATCGACAAATACAGAGAACTAGTATTTGCCGTAAAAAACAATGGCGAGTGTCAGAAGTGAAAACTATCCCAATTGTACCATCGGCAACTGGCGTGATACCAAACTCTGCAGATCCCTGGAAACTCTCCTTGGAGAAGACATTATCATCGGCCTCCAGAAGTCTGTTTATAATCAGCACCTGCTCACTAGTCAGGAGATTCATGGGAGGACATGTTGGGTTTTGAAATCTCATTCTTGAAAATTGTATTATGCCTTAATTTGTTTTGTAGATTTTTAAATATGTCTGTGTTACCATGTCTTTGATATTGTATCTGTGTGGTATCCACGGGAAACCAAAAACTTTGAGAATAAACAAATAATAATATAATAGTAATAATAATAACAACCAACAATAATAATAATAATAATAATAATAATAATATATAATAATAATAATAATAATAATAATAAATAATAATAATAATAATAACTTCATGTAAAGTCGACGACTGTGCCTATAATAATTATCAGCTACGGAGTTATCCGAAAATGACACTTCGGGCACTAGATTTCTTTGTTGCAAAATATTGTGTATGGGTCGCAACATACACGCGGCCATATGTCGTAAATATAGGGTCGACTAATGCTATATGCTAGTTTCTTTGGGCTCCTCGCTGTACTCTTTTTCAAGAATCCGCATAACAAAATGTAAAAGATTTTCAGGCTTTCCCATTCAATCGAAATTGGACTTCCCAGCGATTTACTTTCTAGCTGTATTCCTAAGTATTTGCCAAGACGTGCTCGAGAGGTTAGTAACATTTATTGTTCAGTTTGTACGCAGATTCATTGTAACTTGACCCCTACCAACGTAATAGGACTGCTCTTGAAATGTTTATTTCAGCAATAGCCGTTTGTTTCTGCCCAGTATATGTAATTTGTCTAAGTCTCGCTGCAAATATCCCTCGTCTTTCTCGAGTTGATAATGCCTAGAGATTACGAGTCAAGTCTGAAAGAAGTCGTACATTTGACGCTAATTATCGGGCAGTTCATTCGAACAGATGGCCAGAAAGGATGAGTGATCCATTACACTTCCTTGTGGAATTTCTCGAGTACGCTTCTTCGAGGTTGATAACGTACTACCGAGTTCGAAACTTTGTTCCTGTTTCCGGAGTAGTTCGTTTATTCCACGCTACCACTCTAAGTGGTCTATACCCGAATCTAATTAATTTCTTTATAAGCGAATGATCGTGTGGAACAACATCAAAGCTTTGGAAAATCTATACTATCGCGTTCGACCCTTTTACCTTCATCCAACTACATCGGCTAGGTCCTGTAGAAGTGAGACTAGCTGACTTTCGCAAGAGAAAACCATTCTGAAACCGTGCTAACCCTGATAAAGCCACTTCCCTGCCCTCCATTCTTTCCTATATAGCTTGAATTAAGTGTTCCATAGTTTGCTACGACTGATGTAAGGCTTACCGGGGCCCTATATTTTCTAATTATTGTCTTGTCGCCACTTTTTAAAATAGGTGCTAACGAGAGCAGCTTCCATTTCGGGTACGCAGCGTTGTTTTATTGATACATTAAATAACGTAATTAAATAAGGTAGATTGCTCTCCACCTATTTAAACTGATGTCAGTCAGGACCTCGTGATTTCCTCTCTTTCATTAATTTCTATTCTTTCCGCAAAAGTATTTACATCAATAGAAAGTACATCTATCTACCAGCGTTTGGTATCTGATACTGTTAATTTCTGCTTGGAAAACCGAGCCTGAAATATGCGTAAAAGGCCCTGCGCTTTTTCCCTGTGGTCCGTTGTTGGCGGAATTATAACAGAACAACTGGAATTCAGTTTTATTTCCTTGTCCTTCTACGAATTGTATTTAAAAAATACCGACAATTATTACTGCGCCTCCGATCAAAAATATTTTTTAATGGACGTCCTCTCTCAGTTTCTTCTGCCTTCCCAAATACTTTTGTTAATAATTGCGAAATAAGTCATATGATTTTTCACTTACGGTCTTGCTTGTTAAATGCTTCTCTGGTTTTTCTTTCAATCGCCTAATCTTGCATTTAATATTCCGGATCGCTGTTTACTTTTTAACCAATTTACTGGTGTACAAAAGGCCTGCTTCAGCATTTTACTAAATATTTGTTCAAACTTCTCCCATATTCATCGATTATCTCTCTAAGATTGCACGGTGAAATGTTTATGTGATTTTGTAAAGTTTGTAGAGTTTGTATAGTTGTTAAGTTCTATAATGTTAAGCTAGTGTATTCTGCCACCAAGTTCTCACACTTAATTGCAGAATGATTAATAAATCTAAAAAAATCTAAATCTAAATCTATACAATTGTAATTGTGTATGACAAGTCAATATGATGTCTTGGATAGAGAGAGCGAAGTTACATCACTGTTCAGGAGCAAAAGAAGGGGCCATCTCAGCATTTGCTCAAGGGACCAGGGAAACTGAACAAAACCTGATCTAGATGGGGTTATTGGCCTAGAGATTATAATACTTGCTACAGATAGATTAGGATATTATACAGTAGATAATTATTTTTAGTAGCAGATAATTTAACATTTCAAGATGTTTTTGTCATTTTAATGCTACTTATAACAACAACAACAACAACAACAACAACAACAACAACAACAACAACAATAATATTAAAGCAATACATATCAATTCTGCTAGCAATGATTGGTTAGTGGGCCACATGCATCGTGTGAAAGGGCTACATAGGCACTCACAGCAATACGTTGGCGTTTCATCGTCACATTCTTTCTCCAGTCATAAATCTGTCCCCACTCCTCGCAGCAGGGCCAGGGAATCGCTCTCGCCTGAGCGCGTGGAAATGCCCTCCCTCCTAGGTACTCGAGCTCTGTTGTCCCGGCCTCTTGCGCCTCCAGAAGACCCTTCTTCGCATTTTCTATTTAGTTTACATTACCAATGAGTAATGTAACATTAGAATATAAAGTAAAAAGTGCAGGGGGCAGTGGGCATCCTTATTTTACTCCTCTATGTATCATGGCTTGTTATTCCCAATTCTTTTTCTATGTCAGGAAATATGATTTAATTATTACCATACAAGCTTTTCATAACTTTTATCAGATGGTTTGGAATTCCCTCAATGTTATGAATTTCCTACAAATTTTTTCTGGACGTGAAGTCAAAAGCTTTTACTAAATCTACGAAGAGAATACAGGTAGGGAGGTTGAATACCCTACACTTCTGCTCCCTTACAAAGACACCATCTGCACATGCTCACCCTCCCCTATAGACATGTTGTTTTTCTCCAGGAATAACTTTGTAGTTTGTAAGTTATATCAATGAATAAAAAATATCGAAAGTATTTTGTGAGGTGGTGCTCCTAGAAATTAAACACCATTTTGAGGATGGATTTAGGTGTCTTAAAATGAAATCTGCCAATATTAATTTTAAAAACACACTATAATGAAAGTTGTTTTATTGGGGAATTCAACTATGCAGCAATGTATGTTACAATATCTGATATGATGTTGTGTAGTACCGTTAATTCAAATCATATTGTTTTTAAAATATTTTAATAAATATAGAATATGATTTTGGAAAATACTTCAAACTCATTTTGTGTAATGAATTTTTAAATATCATAACAATCATGTACTACAGTACCCATATCTATACCATATTTACACTTTGGCATACAATTTATGCACAAGTTTGGAAAGAAGTGACAGTTTTTTAACATTTCAAATCACATCTGAATCATATTAAACCTAGAAGACAATAGATACAACATTATTCGACTCCACAAAGTATATTTACAAAATACATTATTTCATAATATACATTTAAAAGTTATTTTAACATTCTGGAACAGAATGAACAAATATACAGTATAATATGGTACATGTATTCTGTTATAGGACACTAGTATTTCTGTGCAGGACTAATCTCTGCTTTAACAACAGCACGCTCTTAATGTACTTCTCACATACTTAACTAAAGGCACTGCTTCACAAAAAAATTTTAAAAATGAAATCAGATTTGTTGAAATTAAATAGATTCAAGCTGTTGTATTACAACATGTAGAAAACCTACATTTAATTTTACACTAATATTTTCATGACAAACAAAAATAGTCCACAAGTTACTGATTGCTATTAAATTGGCTGTTGTTCCTGAAACAATTAAATGAATGATAAAGTTTCAATCAAAATTAAAGAATCGATTAAATGCAAAATTATTAATATGGACAAATGTGAGAAGTAGATTTGTATTTGAAACATTCTATTTCATCACACCACATTTTCCTTCAATTTTGTCTATGTAATCATTAAATATTGAATTTTCAGTTTAGGCGTGGAAAACATTTATATGGAAAAAAAATTTATATTATTAGTTTATGGAGTTAATACATTGAAATATTTTATTTTGATATAAATAAGAACTTAAAGACAAAAAAAAAAAAACAAATTCAAAATATCAATTAATTTTGTTGAATTAGTGATAGCCTATTAAAAATCATTCCATGAATAGCAAGAATTCAATATTCTCCATTATATTTGCCCATTGTACATTGTTTGTTCATTTCTTATGAAAAAATCAGCCACTGACAACACGTATAAATTTCTTCTAATTTTTATAGTTATATGTTATCAGCAACATATATCACAATCATTAAAAATATATTCATCATATTCCAGCTACAGATAGCAAATACTTAGAATTAAATATCTTATCATAAAAACATCATACAAACAGGAGTGTCCCTCAAAATGGGAAATATGCTAACATTTCTAACAAGTTTCTTTCATTGTGTACATAAAATATAATATTTACACAATAATTTCATCTCTACTACCGTATATTAAAAGAGCAATTTACTAATGTAACTATTTGTAAAGAAAGAGTGAGAATATAAAGAACTTCAGTTTCTAAAGCAGATTCAAACAAAGCTCATACTGATGATATTTTAAATAAATATAAATATGTATATAAAAACAAAGTAAATTTGGTGAAAGTAAAAATATGTTTACAATCTATTTATGCATTTTTAACAATGCCACAAGGAACATAGTAATTGCTAGTCAACACTCACTTTACACACATTAATATTATATTATATAAATGTACATTAAATTTTCTTACATTTCTCTAATTTACCTAACAAGAAGATATTCCACTTATGCATTGCTCAGCTATATAGCAATTACAATTTATAAACTTACAAGTAATATACAATACTTGGTTGCCTAATCAGATGGTAATGTCAAATTCACATTGTTATTCATGTAATACAGAATACAATTTTGAGAGTAGTTTTGTACATTGCTGTACTTTTCTGCAAAGCAGCCAAATACAATTTTTATCTTATATATTTTTTGTATTTTTGGAATAGGCAACTTCAGAACAAAATCAATATCCATTAATACACAATATCACAAAAATGTGAATCAATTTGATTGTTTTTACAGAATCTGTTAAACAATTTTTACTTTTAGAACTCATTACGCCTCTTTGAAGACAATGCAAGAAGACAATGAGAATGTGAAATGTGCAGGACATTTTTATAAATTTGCTCTTATAAAAGTATGCAACATGAAGTTAATGTCAAAATTTAAGTTCTGAATCCAATTTTTTCATTAGAGAATTTATTTTCGTAATTTTTGAACCTACAGTTTTTTGTACAAGTATGTATATAAATGACATCTTCAAATCGTTTTTTCTACATAATATAAGATATGTTTAAATTTCAGAATGAAGATATTTCATTTGAATTTTTCATAGTTATATAATGATTTATCGTTATTTACCTGTACATACATACAAGACAAATGAGCAAAACTACGTAATCTTTTCTTCAGTCGAAGTACATATAGTACAAATACAATACTTCAATAAGTAGTTAAGAAATGACCAGTCAGTTTAATTCCAGTTATTGTGACATTATTGGATGGCAAGTATTAAGGGTAGATATAATCATTTATCAAAGTGTGGCACACGGAATAACTTTTTGTGAAAACTGACAGATCTTCTATAGTACATTCAACACTGTTTTTATACAATAATTTTCTTATGTCACAACAATTGAATCACTGTGCTTATAACACAGATACATTCTGGCAAACCAATGTTTCTTTTCATAAAGAAGAATAAACATTTAGATATATGGCAGAATGGTATATATTTAATTCTACTTGGTATTGATATAAACAATAGCTATTTGGAATCTATTGTGCAGAATCACAATACAGACCTCTAAAACGTAAATTGTATATCACTGTAGATGAGCCTTATATGCAGTGCTCAATGCACTGATTGTTAATTGATTGAAAATTTTAATCAATTATTTCTGTAGGTGATCAATTCAGAAGTGATCATCATCTTCATATTGTATAAAATAAAATACAGATCATGTTTTGTTTTGATTTTATGTCTATTCATTTCTCAAGAATTAGTAACTGAGAATTGTTTTAAAGTGAAAATCTAGGACGTATCAAATGCTTTATGTATCAATATTTATAATTTATGTCCTGGAGAGTGATTGTGAGGGTGCTTGTATGCCTGTGTATGAAGGCAAGTATGTATATATAAATGACTAATTTATGAAGTTTATACAAAACAATTACGAAACATACAACTATGCAACATCAGCTAGAGAGTAACAATAACAAGCATTTTATCTGCAGATTCACATCAATAATGTGTAATGTGTCTATGACACAACAGTACATTCATTTATCAAATAAATATTCTATGCAAACATTACATTCTGTTTGGTACATCAGTGCGTCTGGTAGAAAATAACACTCCATTCCACACCACAAATTCTACTTCCAAAACTAAATAACAAATCTAGCATGATATTTACATAATGTATTTACTTGTAAATAATGTATATTTTACGCTGTTTTACTGTATTTATAGGAATAAAAATCAGCAAACAGCTCTAAAGTTAAGTTTTTTGGAGTTTGACAGTTGAGATCTCACACTACAGGTATACTCTATTGGAAATATGAATGCGAGTTCCTTAAATTAAATCAGCTTCCAAAGAGTTTTGAGAATTCATGAATTACTTGGATAAATAAATTCAGTTAAAATAATACATGCGCATTGGAGCACTATCAAAATATGGATATTAATCTAATATAGCAAATTGATTTCAATGTTCATATTAAATGTCTTTTACACTACCTAGTTACAAATAGTGAATCACTACTGACCAACAAATGAAGTTTATAGGATAATGCACATCACAGAGTTAACACCAACATTAAAGAGAAGTGAAGATATTTTGTCCTGGATGCCTGAAATATGGACATATTCTGAGGGTACAAATCACAATTATGAATATACATTTTTATATAATTTTGATAGCATCTAGTGATGAAATATATCAAAATAGGATGCCTTTCAACTTAGCATCATTTCAGTGTTAATAATTCAAGATCACCTGGCAATTTTTAATACAAATAACACAACTAAAATGGCACCTCGAATTCTAAAACTCAAAAATGAGAAGATGCAGGTGATGAAGTGTGTGATATCATAAATAGTGCTATGAATATAAAATTATTTCTCCAAGAAGACTGTGATTGTATTGAGACAATTCAACCTCAGCAATCACCAACAATTATAATCTGAGGTATTGACATTCGGCCCGCAAAGTTTTGAGATGTATATTCATGCAAAGATCATAATTTATACATTATTTTTCTGTTACATACAAGAGCTTTAATTCTCTGACAGTTTGACATTTTAATGCAAGAATTGAGTTATTTTATGGAATTCAGTGTCAATGTGTTTCAGAGAACATTCAGTTTATTTTATAAATTCATTGTTACAAATTTTACAAAATGAAGTACTTAGATTATGATATTTTTATTCTTTAAGAGATGTAAACCGTCTGAATTTACCTTTCAGTTTCTGATTTTTCAAAATCCTTTGTATACGAAGATTACAACTAGGACCTCCAGCAAATATAACCTCAACTTTCCCTCCTTCTTCAATAGCTGCAACAAGAGCTTTCACAGCATCAACAGCAATGTCTTTGGTACTCAATTCAAGAGCAGTGCCTGGAAAGCGATCTCGAATACACTTACCCACTGCTGTAGCACGTCCAGCTGTCAGAGTTACACCCACCATACTAAGCCAACTCAGATAGCTCAGATTGGCTACAACAGTCTGCAAGAACAGATGGTCCAGAGCCATTCTATGAGCATTATCTGTGACTCGCAACCCATTGACTTTCAGATAACTGAGAGAGCAGATCTTCAATGCACGACCCACTGATCGAAGAGTCCTTTCACTGTCTTCTAAACATATCTTCCAGTGACTCATCTTTAAACTTTGAAGTGTTCTAAAACTAGTGGAGAGAGTCTGGAAAAAATTAACTAAAATTTTGTCATCAATGAGTAAAGGGTTGCTGTTGGCACTTCCTGAATTTTTGTCAAGACTCAAATCTAGATCACTTAAATGAGTGAAGCCTTTAAGAAAAGGGAGTAAATGAGGACCACGTAGAGCCATTCGGTCATTGATGGTGACCTGTTGAGAGAAACAACATAAAAAAATTATCTTACACAGACAATTTATTTTCCTGTTAAAAAAAGAAAGAAAGGGTATTATTTTTAAATAGCATAAAATATTGCAAATTCTCAGAGGCAGTGATTTGAAAATATATAACTAGAAATGGTGACTAATGATGTGGATTGAATGATGGCAGATGTTTAAGGAATTTTCTCTCTTACTGAAACAAATGAAATATATTATAATGAATATTTTAACATGTTATAATGTTTATTTTATTGTAAGTTTTTTGACCTGAATAAAAAAGACTGAGAGACCCCAAATAGGGTCAATCGTTAAATATATAACATTAAATAAATTGTTATAAAAAAGTCAGTATTATTAAGGTCTCAGTAAAACTCTTTATTAAAGTCAAGAAACTTACAATCAAACTGCAATATATGTGTACACTTTCACATTATTAAAGAAATTTGTACTTGATTGCAGAAAAGTGACTGTCACAGTTGTAAGAGCAAACTATTAGAGAATAGTTGGTAGATATGAATTCTATAGTGGCAATTTCTATAATGTCCTAGTATCTAATGAGCTGAGCCAGGCTGGGATAGAATAGAATAGAATAGAATAGAATACCAAGTTCCTAATTATGTGTGTATGTCTGCAGTGATGGATCCACAGGGAGGCAAAGGCACAGAACCCTCTCTCTTGTGGGGGGGTGTTGCATGCCCCTCCCCCCAGGCCTGGAGAAAATGTTTGTTACCTTTCTTATTTGCCAAAATTTATTTAAATATTTATTTATATTATTCTTAAGTAATTATTTAAAAAATAATATTGTATAGAATCATATATACACAACAAAAATATACACTGTAATAATATATATGGTTATTATTTGACAAAAATTATGATGGCCCCAAAATAATCACGTGGATCTGCCACTGTATGTGTGTATGAATGTTTTTGTATGTATGATGTTTAATAATTTAATAATTAGGAATTTGTATGTATGATACATGTTTAAAAATAAAAATATACTAAAACTTGAATAAAAGAAAAAAAATGGAGAAAACAATGAAGACAAAAATTTTATTAATTAAATGCTAAATAAATATGCTATATAAATGTATATAATATTAAATGCTAAAAAAATGATTGAGAACAGGCCCGCGCACTGGATTAATTCCTCAGAAGAATAATAATGTACATACTTGTATTATATTATTTGTATTTCACAGTCTGTTAATAAATAAATAAAATAAAATAAATAAATTATTTTTAATATTAGCCTCTTAACAAGATTTAATTGTTTCTTTTACTAAAAGGGACTAGACTTTCTGTGTTGCTAAAAGTAAGACCCTTATTCTTTTTCAGACTTCTGAGTGTTTAACAAGTTGAGGGGTTACAGTTTTAAGTTTCCCAATATGAAATTATAACTCTTTTCTCTTATATTGTTTTGTACTACCCAATACTCTGTTCAACTTGTATGTAATGAATATCATCCTGAACCACACAATATCTTTTGGAGATAAATTTAGATCTACATTTGTACCTCTTAAAATTGCACTATATATTTAAAATAATTTTCTAAGAATATTTTGAAAGAATATAATATAGAAAATATTGGAAATAAAACACTGAAATGTTCTATGATATGAAAGTTTTCCTTAAATACATAAAAAATATGAACTGTACCAGGAAGTATGGAAAAATAAGGATGTCAAACTTCAATCAACATTTCCAACATTTCCCTTAAAAAATATAAATAAATAAGAATTTCTTATCCCATTAGACTTTCTGTTTCATGTGGTGTTTCTCCATATCTCTATGGGTGGCTCGCCCTGGTTTGCCGCCAAATTTTTCTGACTGCCCGTCTCCCACGTGGCTTAAGTTCTCATTGCTTTCGGACGTAGGGCTGGGCTTTTGGGAGACTATAATTATTTATTATTATTATTTTATTATTATTATTATTATTATTATTATTATTATTAATCAAGCAGTCACTTGCTCCTGCAGTCAGTGGTCCCTGACCACATTTGTGGATTAACCTATTTTCAGGTGAATAACAGCTTCCTGACAATTTTGCAAATTTGAGATGTAGTCTGATAATAAGCAGAAGAGTGAGACACATTGTAAGATTACTTAGAACAGAGCTAATTGGCAAGCATTGCTTGGTTTAGATGTAGATGAATCTCTTAAATGCTCTCACTTTCTTCAGGATTTTGTATATTTTAACTTAGCAAAGTTCAGTGACAGTCATGCCAGTTGCAACATGATTGCAGTAAACAAAGTAAATTTTGCTTATGTTAAATATTTATTTACAGTGAATGTCAAACTTTCATCAAACATAAAAATGTTAAAGAAATCAATAGAGAAAGTAAAAAAAACAAAAAAGAAGATGAAAGGTGGGTTTAATTATGCAGGAAAGCCATTTCAAGGAGAATGAATGCCAAGAAAGAAAAATACAATTTGAGTCAAAAGAACAATTATGACATTATAAAACCTGAGTGGACAAGAGCAACTAAATATGCAATTTAAGAAACGAAATGAATTATTAGGATAAATGTTGGACGTCATGGATACTCCAGCGACGCAAGCAGACACAGAGCTTTCATATAACAAATATATGTATTAACAAGAAACAAAAACAAATATATACACTTAATAATCTACTTACACCCTAGCTCTGATAAGACCTACTATCCCTGATCGCGGGAGCGATCCAAACCCCGAATTGAAAGATGGTTTGATTGTGGCATTCGCCACTCCTATCTTTTCGAGCGCGCACACAAAGCCTAGCTTCCGTGACCGGAATGTCCCAGCTGGGACCAAGTCCGTTTGGCGCACAACGGTGGTTGTGCCTCGATCGCAGAGCGATCTTTATCCGATGAGAATCGGCGTGAATCGTGGCACTCAACACTCTTCAACCTAGCGAGCAGCAGCACACAGCATCGCTCCCGTGACCGCAGTCACCCAAGGACTAATAGTCGCAGGCTTCGTCAACTAGTGATCGAGCCGCGCGAGCCTGGCTCGCATATGCACGTCGTGGCGCCAAGTTTTGTGCACACGCACGAGGCCTCTCCAGTCTCCAGAACCCACCCACTGGCTCTGTACACTCTGTTTATAGGCGAGGCCCACGTGGACCTACTAGCGTCACGCCATCGCCCCCGCTTGTTATAACAGCGAAAGGGCTTTCTATCCGCCGGAAGACGCCAAAGCCTTTGTGTCTCCCGTTTTCCGCGTTCATGCCTTTACGGAAAACTCTTCTTCCTGTGGCGAG